AGTATGAATTAATAGAAAGAGTTATCAATAAGAAAATTAATTAAGGATGATAAGTATAATATTTAAAAATAATAATAAAAAATAAAACAAACGGGTCAACCCGTCAACCCGCGGGTTGACCCTAACCCGACCCGTGACCCGTACGGGTTGATAATACGGGTTATCTACGGGTCGCGGGTTGAGATATATAAACCCTAACCCGTTTTTTAAGGGTCGGGTTAGGGTCGGGTTGACGGGTCGGGTGGATTTTTGCCAGGTCTAATGGTAATCCACACAACCCAGAGTTCCCCATGTAGGAATCATCTGAGAAAGTATCGAATTGCTTCCCTTGAGGAATGTGACCTTTAAGTTTGTTGTGCGAAAGGTTCAAATAAGAAAGGAATATCAAACCTGTCAACTGCCCAGGAATCCAACCATCAAGCTTGTTTGATGAGAGATCCAGTGATTCAAGTTTTGCCATTTTCCCCAAGGATGATGGAATTCGACCAGTGAGTCTGTTGTGAGACAAGTTTAGCGATACAAGTGAATTAAGTTCTCCCAGTTCTTCAGGAATCTGCCCATGGAATCTATTGCTTGAGAAATCAATGGTTGTGAAAATTTTCAAGAATTTTACGAATGTCACCTCTAAGCCTTTCCATATTATTGTCACAGAATCCATATAATAAATATTAGTATCAACAATGTATTCCCACATGGCTTCATCAGCTCCATTTACATCTCTCATAGTTGTCAAATTTTTGAAATAGTTACTTGGTAGGAGACCTGTGAAATCATTCTGCAAGACATCAATGATTCTCAACTGAGAGAAGTAAAATGCAGGCATAGAATTGCTAATGGCACCATGAAATAGATTAGATCGAAGGATGAGAAATCGTAGCCTTGGAAGAACACCTAACCATTGTGGAAAGCTGTCATTCAAGCGGTTGTTCCCCACATCTAGAAGTTCCAACTGGCTGCAATTAACCAAAGATGATGGCAGTCTCCCTTCCAACTGGTTGCCATTTAGCTTGAGAGTTCTGAAGAAACTGTTGTTTACAAATGAATTTGGGATTCTACCATGAAACTTATTCATCCCCAGATCCAAGATGGAGAGATCACTCAAGTTTCCAAGGCATTCTGGAATTTTCCCTCCCAAACTATTATTAGCTAAGACTAGAACTCTGAGAGAAGTCAAATTGCAATAAGAAGAAGGGATTTGACCAGTCAAATTATTCCCTGAAACGAGTCCACGCATAAAATCCCAAGTTGTTGATAGAATGGGAAGTGATCTTTGTAGTAAGTTGGATCTCAGGTCAACAGTTTCAAGATATCCAAAACCAAATAAATCTATACCAGTCAAAAAGTTATAAGAAAGGTCTAAACTACTCAATGACATCCCTTCTACTTC